GTGATCTATCCGGGTTCCATTGAAGAACCAAAGAGTCGGTACCGCATGCAAGGTGTTGTGTTGCATATTTGCATTATGATGTATTATGTTGATTGGTGGACTATATGTCATGTTGGGTGATGATTGATATGACTGTTGTAGTTACTACCTTTATTTCATGTATGTAATTACCGATATATTTTGATCATGTTTTCTCACCCCTTTGTTGTTGTTGTGGTATGTGCTTCTTCGGAAGTACAGATAATCCAGGTACTTAGCTAGCTTGGATAGCGGTGTGCGAGTCGAGTCTTAGGATGCTCTGATACGTAACACGGTATTTGGGTGTCCGTCTATTTTATGTTAAAATTATTTTAAATCCTGTGACGTATCATGTTTGGTGGAATGTTAATGAACACTTTTATGTAATTGGCAGATGGCCGAGAATGTTGAATAAAAATGAATATTTTTCCGCTGCTTTAATTTGAAAACCTTTTTATGAAAATTCATGGCGAGTTTTATGATGTGATATCCCACTTTGGTGGAGAGACTCTGATGTTTATTTATAATGTTTACATTTTAATTGATTTTGGGAAGTGGGGTGTTACAGGTGGCCAAGGCAGTTGTGAAGAAAATGAAAACATCTGAGACAGTTAGGATTTGTGATATTCAAGACATGAGACCTAATTAATCTGTGGGAATTATTGTGGCTAGGGCATGAAAGACAAAGTTGATATCAAAGAAGATAATTGAAGAAGATGCAGACAAGCAATATGCAAACTTATGGAGATATGCTGCTAAGTTGAAAAGGGTAAATGCTGGGAATATTTTGAAGATCAACATTGACAGACCAATCCTATCAATTCAACCAAGGTTTGGATCTTTTTACTTTTGTTTAGATGGATGTAAAAAAAGGATTCATAAATGGATGCAGACCATTTGTTGGGGTTGATTGGTGTGATTTGAAGACCAAATATGGTGGTTAACTTTTAATAGTTGTGGGTAGGGACCCCAATGACCAATATTTCCCATTGGCCTTTGGTGTTGTGGAACCTGAAACAAAAGATAGCTAGAGGTGGTTTCTATAGTTGTTAATGGAAGATGTTGGACAATACAATATATATGTCTTTATTTCATATCAGCAAAAGGTGTGCCATTTTCAATTGTTAGTTGTTAGTTCATAATTCTCATTTTGTTTTCATACTTTTTATTATCAAATGTTAGTTGTTTTAAAAGTTGTGTCATTTTTATGATTGTTACAGGGTTTGGTAGCAGTATTTGAAGAAATGTTTGAAAGAATAGAGCATAGCTTGTGTATGAGACATTTGTATGCAAATTCAAGAAAAAGTTTGGAGGTGGATCATTAATAAGAGATCTCATGATGGGAGCAGGAAAGACAACTTACTATCAAGGATGGATGCAAAAAAATGAATGAATTGAAGCAAGTAGTTCTCAAGGCTTGGACATGGCTAATGGGAGTACCTCCAAAATGTTGGTGCAAGCATGCATTTAATTTTTACCCTAAATGTGATGTACTGATGAACAATATTGCTGAGTTTTTTAATGTCACAATTTTAGTAGCTAGAGAAAAACCTATACTAACCATCTGTGAATGAATTAGAAAGTACTTAATGAATAGGTGCAGTACTTCTGTCATGAAACTTGAAAATTGGTCACATAAGGTTATGTCAATTCCTAGAAAGAGATTAGATAATGAGGTGGGTATGAGTGGTCATTGGTTGTCAACTTGGGCTATGGATGAAAATTTTCAAGTTACTCATTCTTATAACAAACAAGAATTCATAGTTGACATTGTCAAAAGGTCTTGTGCATGTAATTCCTAGGGGTTAGTTGGTATTCCATGTAGGCATGTTGTTGCAGCTTTAGGTTTTAGGCAACAGAATCCATAAATGTTTGTTGATGAATGTTACTATAGAGAAAAATATGCCCTTTGTTATGGTTTTGATTGAGTCCCATTAATGGACAGGAAATGTGGCATGAAGTTGAAGGTGAAGATCTTCTACCTCCTATGTACAAAAAAGGTCCTGACAGACTAAGAAAATTAAGAATTAGGGAGTGTGGTGAGAAAGGTGCTAGAAGAAGATTTCTTGGTGTATCTTATACGTGTACAAAGTGTGATAAGTTTGGACACAATGTTCAATCATGCAAGAGCAAGAAACAAGATACAAATGCCTTGAAAAGAAAGGTATTGTTGTTTGTCAGTTTAGTATTGTTTGTTTAGAATGTTATAGGTGTAAACAATGTTCTGATTTTATGTCATTTGGATTATTGTAGAAAAAGGTCAAGTCTAATGCAGGTATAAGTGCAACCACTGAGGTGAATGCTAATTAACCAACTCAACTAACTTATGCAAGTCAACATGATGGTTCTGCTCAACCTAACCAACCAACTGAGGCAAGTCAACATGATGCTTCTGCTCAACAAAACCAACCCGCTAATGCAAAGCAATATGATGCAATCACGCCAGATACAAGATTGTTTGGGGATATTTTTTATGAGATGATGTCAACCATACCTGACATCAACACATTAAATCCAACTATGCGAACAACAGCTAACATCAATCCGCTCAGTAAGTACCAAATGGAAAGGCAAAGCTAAAGACAAAAAGAAGGCAAACCAATGAAAAAGAGGTCAAGGGAGAGAATTAAACTGAAATGGTTTCAAAAACCAATCATAGGGTCTGGTTCAAACCCTAACCAACCAATGTATTTGTCAGAAGAAGAAGAAAGTATTCAGACACAAGAAGGAAATTGATCAACCAAATCACAAATGCAAAGAAGGGTACAAAGAAATCTCCAAAGAAAAAATCAAAGAAGTAGTTCACACTATGGTATGACTTTTTGTAATCAATTATATCCTTATGTAATGACTTATGCAATTTTAATGTTCTTATGTAATGACTTATGCAATTTTAATGTTCTTTTGTAATGTCTGTAATGCACACTTTGTGTGCCATTTTGTAATGACTGTAATGCACACTATTAGTGCCATTTTGTAATGACTAATGCACACATTTGATGCCATTTTATAACCATCTTATGAACTAATCATTTCAATACCTTATATCACAATCATTAATTGACAAAAAAGTTAAGCATTTCATTAATACAAAGCAATTTTACAAATGTGTTCATAATCTTCAACATGATGAAAATACATCAGACCGCATAACTTCCAAATACATCAAACTACATAAAATTACAACATAAAAATTACATTAACTTGTACAACATTGCAAAAATCAACCAAGAGATCACAAGTGCCATCTTCAAATTAAAATATTTCTTCTTCTGAACTTCAATCTTCATCTTGGTTTTTTCTAACTTCTTCCATGTGATTTCTAATTTCACACTTGCTATCTCACAATTTTGGCAACTTTCTTAAATATTAGAAACCCTTTCATAGAGTTCCAATTTTATCATCCCACACAAACAGGTCACAAATTCCCATTCTAGAAACACAACCAACATTTACACAGCTATGAACATATTAAACATCACTTTTTGATTTTAAACAACATTTACAGAAACAAGATTCTTACCCCTGCGTTGCGACACCTCTAGAATTTCCTATTACTGTTTTGAACAGTGCTGGAGACCCGCATCTTCATTGCACGATCGCATCCACACATGGGTAAAGATGGAAATTCAACGGAAGGTATGTTGTTGCTTGCAATTGAGTTGCTTTCAACCATGTTATCTTATACGCAAAATCGTACTAGGGAGAAGAAGAAGAACAAATTCAGAAGAATGAAAGAAGAAGAACGAAAATGTGAAGTGCGAAGCCCTAGGGTGAAGAAGGAAAAGAACGAAACAAATGAAAAAATGCACACTCAGCCTAACAACGTGGCATTAAATGGTCCAGTCAGCTAGCCATCAGATACCAACTAAGAGGTCTCACTTACACAACCAGAAGAATTAAATAGTCCAATCAGCTAGCCATCAGATACCAACTAAGAGGTCTCACTTACACAATCAGAAGAATAGTGACACAAGGGTCTTCATTGATAGAATCTGGGTTTAGTAAAGAGGGGATCAAAAAAAATTCTTGTAGGAGAGAAACCAAAACTCGCTATAATGGCAAGGAGGTAACATATATTTAACCTTAGGTTTAGCAGAAGATCAGACCTAAATCTTTTTCAAAGGTTGATGTGTTCCATTAATTTTCTACTTCTCTTCCGTTTAAATCTTTTTCAAAGGTTGATGTGTTCCATTAATTTTCTACTTCTCTTCCGTTGACAGCAACAATAGCGTACCCTTATTAAATATTGTCTCTATTTTTTTTATTATAAATTGTTTTTGACTTTTCACATGTATTAATGATTGTTATATAAAAATGAGAAATTATGAATAATATTTTTACAAAATTGTCTTCATTAATAACATGGAAAACATAAATTTATATAATTAAAAAGAAAAAGAATAATAAAATTTTAAAGATATAATATAAAAATTAAGCTTAATTATTCATTGATAATAATATAAAGTGACTTGTACAATTTTTTTTTTTAACAATTTATAATAAAAAACGGACAAAGAATGTAATATCTTGCTTTGATCTTTCACTATTATGCTCTAATCAACTTATTCTCTTCGCCGTTAACATCTACATCAACAAGTCAATTTTAATCTAAACTGAATACTGATCAAATTTGATGAGATTTCAATTTAAGTTTAATCTGGACAAAATGTAATCGAATACTTTGGCGTGCTATTAAGGATTTTGTAGAAGTTATGTTTTTTGGGGTCAAGTTTGTAGGAGTTTTTTAATGCCTACTATAGCCACTCTCGGACAAAAGATGATTTCACGCCGCTTAAGATTATGATTTTGCGTCCTTTATTTAAAGTTTCAATCATATGAGGATTAAATAACAACCAACTATAACAAACAAAAAGAACCCTGGAGTTTAATATTGACTCCATATAGAATCAAAATACAACAATGCTAGCCCCATCTTAAAAGCACCTTGACTTTTAAAGACGTATAAATTAGATACAAACTTATGCAGCTGGAGGAGTTCTGTAATAAGCTGGAACAGTTGCAGGGAAGAACATTTGCCGAACTCCTTCGGCCTTAATTATGGGCAAGATGATTCCTGATGCACTCTGCCATAGGAGAGTTGGTTTTTCAGTTAGTTTTCTTATAATTTATTCAAATAAAATAGCAATGAGTCCCAAAAACTTCCTACTTACAGCAATTAATCTGACTCCACTCCATATGCGTTTAGGAGAAGGAAATGGTAATAATAAACGACCAACACCATATATCGCGACAGCGAAGAAATGAAGAACCAAGCTTAGAGGTCGAGGGTTTAATCCTGAGAGCAAAGAGACTGGTCCTTCTGAAAATAGACCCCCAAGGCTTAGATAATCAAAGCAAGCTTGACGCATTTCTTTTCTTGCTGGATCAGGTGATGCGCAAAAAACCTTGTAAAGTGCTCCTGCCAATGTATTTATGGTGGATGCCACTGGCTGTATATTCAAAGTTTAAGATACCTTAGGCATTAAGCAGAGTTAAATAGTTTCACGAATGTTATGCATCCTCTTTTCAGCTCAAAAGAAGAAAAATTAGGGTAAAGAGGTGATTGTGTTAGTTTGATTACCTTGCGCAAGGTATAGAAGGATTCAAGGTATTTACAAAGGCTGGGTGCGTCATTCAGGTCACGTAAAGGCTTGAGAAGATTTCGGAGCACTACTATATCAGATAATGCCACAGTCATCCCGCCCCCGGTTAGGGGATGCCGCATGTTGAATGCATCTCCCATTAGAAGGGCTCCCGGTGTAGGATAAGGATCAGCTGGCATGCTTCTGTTTGGCATTGTCCTTATGTTGCCTTTGTCCACTGCAGCTATGAAAGCATCGTGAAGCTCAGGGGGTACCTGTAATAATTTTTCACTTATCATCATCTAACTTTATTAGCTGAGGATGCAACACATATTGCTTCTCTCAGAGTGAAAATGAAAGTAACCAAATGCAGGAGCCTAATAAAAAATTGGACTTGTAGAACTTGAGTATATGGTACCTGTGGAGCTACCACTGTCTTCAAATACTTTGCCATTTCACCATTGGAAATAGATGGAACCTTCTGACCAGGAACATCAACCAGACAGCGAATTTCTGTGCTACTTATGGGATAGAACAGAACCGGTGAAGGATCTCCCAGTATGACATGACCATGATTTGCACATGGAAGTTCACAGTTTTCCAAAACTAAGCCAACAAAACAAGAGGGAACATCTACCTGCGAACATAGAAATATTAAAAAATAAAACAAAAGAGGCGATTCAGAATTCTTCAGACTACTGGTTTTTGCAAACACAGCTGACAAGAATAGACGCCGGGAGAAAATAATAGCAAAATGTAGAATCATTTTTAGTCTTATGGATGTGCCGATAAGGCTATAACTTCATAATATACAATGACAACCATTGAATTTTAATCCCTAGGTAACGTAGAATACATAGACCAAACGATGACATAATATTCAATCATAGATCATATCTTTATCTAAATCCTATAGTTTTTCTTGGTTTCCTTCTGCCTCTAGCATATGAGCTACCCTCCATCTGATTTGCTCTATTATAGAATTTACGGGTCTCTCCACACATGTCCAAATCACCTTAGTGGCTTAGTCGATATTCAACAATCTTTTCTACTATAAATGTGACACGAACTCTTTAATGCTTTCATTCATAATCCTATTTTGTCTATCATTTCGACACATCAAACACAAAATCCTCATCTCAGACTCTCAGCAAACTTCATAGAAAAATGAAACTGAATCATACATAAATACATTTAAGATGAAAATTTTATCACCTTAGGGTTACAAAGAGTACGACGCAAGTTCGAGAAACAGCCATCACAAACAATGGTAAGAGGTGCACATGCTGATAATTCCTGAGCATCTTTTGTTTTGTACTGCACACCTCTAATTGTACCTTGCTCTTCGAGCAGGGAAGTGACTGTTCCTTGCTCCAATCTTACACTGCATAATATAGAAAAATAAGACAACTGCTAATAAACAACAATTGAAACCTTATATCAGACAAACAAGGACTGTAAATTTAAGGAAGAAGCCAATACTTGGGAAGGGAGGCTGCCTTCTCTCTCATCCTCTGAATAAAACGCCCATTGTGGAAGCTTCTGCCAGCAATATCTGAGTGAAACTTCTCCAAGGGATAAGAGAGTCTTGTATGTTTCCCATCCTTGAAAAGAGCATACCCAAACACTTGCTGAGCATCAATTTTCTCCACACAATCTGCAATAACAGACAAGCTGTGATCATTCTCCTTTCTGTTCTAAGTGGAATTAAAAACACAAAAAGAATCATGTCTATTCCGCTCCAGCGCTCAAGATCAGCGATAATCTAGAAATCGGAAAAATGATATGTTGTATCGTACAGTTAAGTTTGCACTACCTTCAAGTCCTAGCTCAATCAGTTTGAGATAGCCTCCAGGTTGTAGCAACTCGCCAACAATTCGATCTGGTTCGTTCAAATCTCTTTCAATAACAAGTACTCTACGTCCATCCTAAATTAGATCACAGTCATGCAATCAAAACTTGATAGTGAATATGTTTTAGAAAACAGTACTTCATTAAAATTTTCTAAAACTTCATCATGATTGAACTTGCTCAAACACAAAACAAACCCAAAATAGGAGACAAGAGGCACAAAACGGGAAGGACCAGCTGAACTGGACCACAGAACTTTAAGACCTAAAGTGAAGTAAAGTTAAAAGCAAGTTTTCACTTAAGAGAAATATGGAAAACTAAATCTTAACTTCCCAAGACTGTCCATTATTATATAAATAGTAAATAAATTTGACAGATATCCATAGAAAACTACTTTAACTAGAATTTGAAAAACTTTAAATTAAATTTTCTTCGAAAATTTAATTTAAAGTAATTTTATGTAATTAAAAGTGATACTATTTGACCAATCAGACCAATCGTTAGTTAATCTAGTGGTGATTGACGCTGGATTTGGTAGGGAGAATCAAGATTCGATCCCCCACAACTGCGATCGGGAGGAGGTTAGAACCCCTTGATGCCATAACTGACCTCGAACCAGATTAGTAGATCCAGTGGACCAGATACTAAAAAACAAAAAAAAGTGATAATACTATTTGAAATTAGTTCAAACTTCATTGTCTTGTCTCAATATCTGTCTCCCGTCCCCACTCCATTGATATTAGTACTTACACACAACAAAAACAACAACAACGGTTTTAACAGTAGACATTCGCAGTAACTTTTGGTTATAGATAAACCACAACAACAACCAACCAAGTTTTATCCCAAAGTGGAAACCAAAAACAAACATAAGTATTTTAAATATATTTTCAATGAGTATAAGAAATATATTCTTAATAATTTATTCACAGACTTTAACAACAAAATCACACACAAACTTAATATTTCAATTTGATGAAGAAATAAAGAAACTATATTCTGGTAATATTTTTCTACAGTGAAACTGTAATCAACCAATACTATTTCCATAATCTAAGAACATAAATTAACAAGAAATAGATATTAAAAATGAAAATACCTTGCCGAGAGTGTAAGCTAAAGCTGAGCCAGCAACACCGGCTCCAACAATGATGATATCAGCATCTCCGTCGGGATTAAAAGATCTGCATTCTCCGGTTGCAGTTGTAATATTCTCGCTGGTGCTTTGAGATGTAGCCTTGCGATTGAAAACGAAACTGTAGAACGCGACGATGGTGATAATGGAGCATATGATCCATCCGAGCGCGTAGGAGTCCACCATTTGGAAGAACCTTATAGCGACGGAGGGAGAGAATGACGGCGCGGTGTTGTGTTTTTTCTTTTCCTCTCTCAGTGCTTTGCTGGCTGCAATGTGAATTTAGAAGGCGCTAGACGTTTCTGTTTGCATGCGTGGCTTAATGGAATCCATGGAATTTCATGAGGATTTTTTTTTTTTTTATAGAAAAAGCACATGGTGTGTTGATAAAAAATTCTGCACATTGATTTGGCTGCTAACTGTTTTTCGTAAACAGTCAACATTGGTATTATTAATAATTTTTTTTTAATAAACAAACCAACCAAACATACAAAGCCCAAAGGGCAATAGGCCCGGTCTTTGGATTCGGAATGATCTTTTAAAATTTTGTTTGCGAGTGTCTTTGTCATTTTAACCCTAGCGAGGATATGTGCTTCTTTGTTTCTCTCGTGACTAATGTGATCGTATTGAACTTTAATAAACTTTGTTTTCATCTTCAACATCTCTCTACAATGTATGTCTGTTGTATTTATGGGGATATTCTCTTTTACTGCATGATAAATGGCATGCTTCATGGACACGACCTCAGTTGCAAGTCGATCCTTTTCACCTTTGACTCTAGTAGAGTTTCTACCTAGGGTTTGACCTTTTTCGTTTCAGATGATTTTACACAACCTTCATAACCCTTCTTCAATGAGGCAAGCATCCGTGTCAATTATCACCCTTCCTTTCATCGGATTATCCCATGTATAGCTGTTATCAGCTTTCCCCTTTAATTTGTTGTCGTGTTCCTTCTTGTGTGTCGAATTTGGATTGACTTTATGTTCGTTGTGACTTTTAGGATTAGAATCCAAGTTATCCTTGTTATTCTGATTGTTGTTCTGCTCTAACTTCTCTAGATTGAGTTGATTGTTACTTTTGAGCTGATAACTCATATTTTCCTTTTGTTTATGCTTGTTGTCTTGCATGTTCCTTTTCTAACTATTATTTTTGTTTTGTTGTCTTTTCCGATTAACACCTTATGTTCCACTATGATTCTTTTGATTGCTATTGCTTTTGAGATCCTTCTGCTTTCCTTTCTTATAGTGTTTGGAATGCAAATCGTTTTCTGTTTGTGTCATAGTGCTTATGCTACCTGTAATACCATAATTTTTACCCCTAAGATCCCATATGTCATTTGCATTTCATCCCACAAACAAGATTGCAAGCTTTGATTCTCTTGCCTTCCTCTGCAGGTTTGTTCTTGAGAGATCATCAGACACCTTCGTTTTCTTGTTTGCTTGATATTTGTTTATGTTTATGTTTACTAACCATTGATTAAAATCCAAAAAAAATGTTTGTTTTTCCTTTACTAACTTTTTCAAGAAGAATTTGGACCAAAGATATCAAATATCAGTCTCTCAGCTCGAATGAATTTTATCTGAGAAAAGTCGAAGTTAATCTGCAAACAATACAAAATCATCTGATTAAGAGTTTCCCAAGATTTGATTGACTTTTATTCAAGAGACTCTAAGGTACACGTGTTTATTTCCATGCCTTCTTTGACAAGTAAAAGAATCGAGCTAAAGCCAAGACAACACTCAAAAAGGCCATTTTCACAATTTTTGTCTATGGTAACCGGTTACTAGATATTGTGTAACCGGTTACTTTGTGCGAATTTTGTGAAAATTGGGCAAATTCAAATTCTGCAACATTTTTGGCACCAAATTCAAATATTGCAACATGAGAATATTCTAGACCACTTCATTTTAAATCTCCTACCTCATCATAATTAATTCCCACCATACACCTTCACTAATCATCACTTGATCTTGAATTTCCCTCCAAATTTAAATTTCAAGACTAATTTTGATTTCAAACCAAATTCCAATCCATCAAATTTTCCAATCCTAAATCCTATAAATAGACACCTCATTTCTCTCATTTCATAAGTTTTTGATAGTCAAAATCACCTTGTCAAACTCTTTCTTGACTTTCAATTTTCTCCAATTATCAAATTCACCAAAAGCTCTTTCTTCCTTTGAAAGATTAGTAAGTTCAACATTAGAATTTACTAATGTTTGAGCTAAACCTTCATCCAATCACTTTTTCATCCTCAATTCTAGCAGATCAAAGCTTTAAAGTGGGGTTTGTGGAGTTGATTTGAAGAATTTCCAGATTTGGAGTGGTAATTTCTTGATCCACCATTGTGGCTCTTGGTACATCTTTCATAATGTGGTCTATTATTGACTCTTGTTGCTTGATCTTTGGATCTTTTAAATCATATTCTATTGGTGTTGATTGTTGTTATTTTACTTGAATTTTCGTGCTCAATTGCACCCTTGATCATGAGGTGTTTGTCTAAATAATTGATTAAGTTTTTGCCCCCTTTTGGCCCTGTTTTGTTGCTGTTTCGCTGCTGTTTTCATAGGGTAACCGGTTACCTTATATAGGGTAACCGGTTACTCAGTGATAATTTTGCTATTTTGGCTCTATTTTGGGACTGTTTTGGTTCCCACCTCTTCTTCTTCTTCTATTTCCTTTTGGTTTTGGTCATTAAATACACTTTTAAAAGTCATTTTCCTCTTTAAATTCATTGGACTTAGGGTGTAGATGAAGTTGGATAAACATTCATCAATTTAAATCTATCTTTAAAGTGAATTGTTCAATTCATTTTAGGTGCTTTGAGTTAATGATATGTTTAGTGTTTTAATCCACCAAGATGAGTGGATGAACTTAAAGATGGAATGATCTTGAACTTGTAATTCAATTTGGCATTCCCTTTCTTCTTATTCTTTTTCTTTTGATCAATGAAATCTATGGATCATGAATTGTTGGTTGTCAAGGATGTTTAGTCTTTATTGTTTCAAATCTATGGATGAATAATCATTGAGATAATTCTTTGTACTTTAGAATAGTGATAGATTACCTTTGATTAATCGATAAAAATCTTGATTATGATGAGATCACTACCTCTTTTCTTTTTGTGCGGTATTGCTTTCGGAGTGATCTACATATCACTTCTCTAACATGCATTAGCACTAACATTATTATTGACCGACCTCAGATAGTCATGGTTTCTACATAAACCAGATTACGATTGCTTAACATAGCGCTAAATTGTCCCGTAATCGGAAAAATGATCATTCGTGGCTCAAACTTATGTTTGAAAGTCCAAGTATGGTTGATTGCTTGTCTTAAGTCCTCTACCTATGAAACTTATTGTTAGGAGGCTTTGATTCTATCAATCCTCTAATGAGTTTTCATTAACCTTGGTCTAAGTGCAAGAGTTAACCATCGTTGATCATTTTCTCTAACAACTAACTAATAACTCACTAACAATATCTTTGTTTTAATTTTGTTTATGTTTCCTTCTTGCTCCCTATTTCTCTTTTATCTTTATGCTTTATTTTTATCAACTCATATCATATCTTTGTTTATGTTTCCGCCTCTGTTCTTTTGTCCACTTAGACCATATCTTGTTCAAAACACTAATAAAGGATTAAACCTCTAAAAAACTTGGTGCTCTTAACTTTGTGGTTATGCTCTTGGACTATTCCTAGACCTTGGACCTTTGGACTTAGAATTAGGTCTCTTTACCCATGCTTGAAGTGTTGTGGATCTTTGCCTTTATTTGGCTTGTTCATTTGCTTATACTCAAGATGGATGAAATTCTTTTAGCTTGCTATGGAGTGTGCTACAAGTTGGTTAGATCCTTCTTATCTCTAGCTTTTTTTTTTGCTTTCTAGGATAGTCACTTCATCTCCTCCCCTTCTTCAATTTTCAAAATCTTCTCCCTATTTTCAAAAACCTTCTTGTTTTAAAACTTCAAGACCACTTTCACAATAAAACTTTGAATTTTGTCAAGTGATTTTCAAACTTTTTTTTTCTTAATAAATGTCAATCAATATTAGTCATATTTTGACAAATTTCAAAAAGACTTTAAAAAAAATATCAACCTCATTCAAACTTTTTGTGCCTTTGTGCACTTTTTACTTTAAAACTTTTCATAAAGTTTAGATATGAGTCATTTCCGTAGTTGAGATATAATTCTCCTATTCTCCATAGTATTAAGATGTTGACATTTTTCACTTAGATGTTGAGTGATAGACTTGTTGATAATCCAAGAAAAATCCTCCATATTTAGGTGATGCAAATGTTGTCTTATACTTGTGGGCGACTAGTCGTAGTTTTCTTCTTAAAATGACGATTTGTCTTTACATTCAAAATCAATTAAAACCAACAAAATTTTTGTTATTTGTACCATGAACTACGAGGTTTTGATCCTATATTGCACTTTGTGGGTACGTAGGCATGAGGCGATAAGTCTCTCCAAACATAAAAAAATCTAAAAAAATAATTCTCTTTTCATCTTCCTAATCTCTTTTCAAACAAACCATTTTCAAACCAAAAAGCGTTAATATTTCAAAGGGCTCCTATAAAGTACTATAGACGTTTTGGGTGCTAACACCTTCCTATTGCATAACCAACCCCCTTACCCAGATCTCTGTTCTTATTCTTGTTTTAGAACTCTTTGGTTTTGTTCACTCTTTTTCCTTTCCTTTTTGGATAAAATAAAAGTGTGGTGGCGACTCTTGCATTTTTTGAGTTAAGTTAATCAATAGCTTACACTCACAAATTTTCCCGCTACAGAAAAGTGGCGACTCTGCTGGGGAGTCACTGGTTTCCAGTGGGTTTCGCCTACTTTGATTTATTTATCGCTTTTTGTTTGACTTGTTTGTTATTGCTTTTTCTGTTTTGGTACCTAGTGATATGTGTGGTGAGATAAGTCTTATACCCAGACTTGAGTCCACGTATGATAGGAGGGTGGTATAGTCTTGTTGGCTTACGTGGAATAGTCCTTACTAAGTTGACTTGAGATCCCCCGCTCAGTGGAGGCCCCTTTGGAAATACTAATGCCTTACGAGTAGTCGTAATTGGCATTACTTTTTCTGACCTGGGAGCTTGAGAAGCTGTGGAACTTAGAATCCTTTAACCCGTCTTGGCCTTATTAGGGCGTGGTGCGGTGGCTATTCAGGTGTAGACTT